CCTTTCTATGCCACTCTTTGCATTGCTGGGAACTCCACTATCCTCCCAACAAAACTTAAAACAAAAAAGACTTTAAATCTCAATTAGGGGATCAAATTTAGACCACCTTTGCCTTGCTTTTACTTGGTGGATTCAAACCATAGGCTGAACCTCAATTGTGGCATGATAGAACATGTTGATTGCTGAGCATTGTGAATCAAATGCAACTTTTTATTTCTTTTTGGACTACGCTTTTTAACACTAAGATGATTAAGAGTGAACAAATTGTAGTTATTTACTATAGAATGAAACAGAGACCAGGACGAAATAGAGGATTATGCATTTATGCTTAGCAACAAAAAATTCTTCCCAACAAAATATGGTCAAGTTGGTCCTCATGGGCAAAGGCATACATCTTTTATGCATTCCCATTTATTTTGTATTTCTTGCATCATATTTTTTAGCAAGTAGTTGTTCAGATATCAAAATTATCAATGTTCACTTCTTCTGCGAAAAAATTGGCCATAAGTGTTTCGAGTAATATCTCAAACAACTTGGAGTAAACTTTTACTCAAAAGAATGCAGAAATTAAAGATCACCACTTTTTGGATCACTCGATTTTTTTTTTTAAATTAAAATACAGTGGACTAATTTCTTAAAATAGGGTGGTCATATAAACACAGCTTTACTACGACATCGCATTTTTAGATATCATGTTGGGGCTTCATAATTTGAGGAATACCATCTTGTTCTTGGACCATTTTATTCTCTTATAGGGCTATTATATTATATCAGTCATGGCAATAGGCAACTGGCTTGAGGAAACTAACCAACAATTGTTAGATTCTATTTTTACACTTTTTATTCCACCCTCCTAGAGCAAGCCAGAGTAACAGACCAACACCACATAACAAATAATTTCAACTATATTTTCAAGTCATAAATCACAACACAAAATGAATATAAGCAATGCATTTGTTAAGTGTGATATCAAATCTCTGTTTTGGCAGGTTTGCACCGCGTGCTTACCAATCTGAGGAGACGTATGGTGGACTGTCAAACAAGGTGTTGTCTGTGTTTAGGGTGAGAAGAATCAGTGATGCACCTTTTTGTCAGGTGTCTGATCAGAGAGTCGGCCGACATGCTTTTAGTTTGGCTGCAACATGTATTTCAAGCTAAGAGGATGGAAGAACCAGGGATGGATTTAGGGGGGGCGCGGGGGGCGACCGCCCCCCTTGGACTTTCAAAATTTTCTACCATATATGTAATATTTTCATAAAACTTTCATAATTTAATTAGATTCGCCCCCCTTAGCTTTTAATTTTCAAAAGTAATATATAGTGTGGCATAATGTAATACTTAATTGAAGATTTAAAAGAAGGAACATCTAAAATAATTACATAACTTAAACACATAAACAATAGAATAACTCGTTGTTTAAGATTTAGGATACTTATTATATAAGAATTCCTAGTTTTGTAATGTTTAATTATTTTTATTAGATAATAAGTACTTGATTTTGTAAAATATATATCAAACAATATTAAATATCAGACACACTAATTACACAGTTTTTAGATCACGTGAAATGAATCCAAAATATAAATGTTTATTGACATTAAATTACGTACATAATTCATTTACTTCTTGCTTTCTAAAAATAATTTATTGCATTAATACAAATATTAAAATATAATATGCACAATATATGTGTGTGTATGTGGTGCATACTATTCTAAAAATAATAATATCATACATACTACTATTGTAATATTAAGAAAACTTCTCATGAATCATGACTCACGAACACCCTCCTTGGTGGCCGGACAAAAATTACAATTCAATAATAACCGATTCATGAGGTTAAACAATGTAGAAGTTATTAAAAATGTATTGGTTGATGTCTTTGTCATCGTCTAATTTAAACTTAGAATGTACAACTTAATAGATTTAAATGTCGTTGGGGATGTGTATGTATTAATGTCATTTTTTGAATAAAATTAGCCGCATAGCCCTACAGCAGCGGAAAAAATTCGCCCCGCTACACTAGGGGAAAAAATTTCGCCCCACTACAGTAACAAAATTTTTTCACTCCCTACAGTACCGAAAAATTTCGCCCCCCTTGAATAGAAATCCTGGATCCGTCCCTGGGAAGAACTGCATACCTTGGTGTGCGGTGGTTGGGGATTGTGGACTAAATGAAACAAGATGGCATGGTAGGGGCGAGGCTAAGTGCTGCTTAGTTGATGTTCGAGGCTAAAGTTTATGTTGAAGTTTGAGGCGCAACAGTCAACCTGCAGCAAGGAAAATAGCGGGATGTCAGGCAACCCGTGCTGGAAATGACCGACGGCAGGCTGGAAAAAATCAATGTCGAAGATTCTATGGGTGGACTGTGCTACGGACTAGGTTCGGTTGTCTGAGACGAGTTTGGGGAGTTCTTAGCGGGAGGAGCTAAACCTTGATGGGGGTAAATGTACTCCTTTGGAAGCTGAACTATTGGGTATAAGGGAAGTTTTGAGTTTGCTGTATAATCAAACTTAATATTCACATGGAAGTAACAAGAATAAATACAATCTTTTTATTTAACTATTTCCTTCTCTTATTGGGCTATGATATTAGAACATAGTCATAGCAATTGGCAACTACTAGCTTAAGAAAACTCAATTTCATTCCCTTTAATTTTTCTCTGCACTGGCAAACTATTTAAAACACAACTATGGCCGAAGTGAGTAATGTCTCTAATTCCTCTCTTCTTTGGAAAAGACGTTAACAAAATTTAATGGCATAGGCCAGAAAGAGGGTTTTCTTTCCTTCTTCTTTGTTCTATTTTGGCTATAAAATGGTGTAACACACTACTGCAAAGAAGATTTAGAGAAATATAAATTTTATGCGTTCTTTTAGACTAAGATTTCAGGGTCTTCTAGGGAATAGGGGTGGACCGGTTCCGGGCCGGGCCCGGTTCGGGCCTTGAACCGGCCGGGCCTCGGTTCAAGGTAGGGGAGGCCCGGAACCGGCCCGGGTAACCCCGGTTCCGGTTCGGGCCGGGCCGGCCGGGCCGGGCCCGGTTCGGTTCTATATTTTTTTTTTGGGTTTTCCTAATCAACCCCCTACCCTCGCCCTCAACCCCAAACCACCTCAAATGGCCCAAAATACCCAATCCAACCCAAAAACTTAAAAAAAATTCAAAAAAAAAAAATTAAATCCGGTGTTACTTGATTTACCTTCTTTAACCCAATACTTGATGAAAAAAATTTCTCACGGTAAAATTCGGATCCGGTGTTACACCTTCCCTACCCCGACCCCTTTACCCCTTACCACCTTCCCCTACCTCGACCCCACCCTACCCCATCACAACCCCACCCCTACCCCCTAGCCCTTAACCACCCTACCCTCGGCCATAACCCCACCCCCACCCGTTACCCTTCTTACCCTATCTCGACCCTACCCCGACCTCACCCATACGAGTAGGGTAGGGGCTGGGTTGTAGGGGAGATAGGGGTAGAGGGTAAGGTCGTGGTAAGGGTAGGGGTACACGGGGGTATAGGGTGGCAGGTTAGGGGTACGAGGTGACCCCACATATTATATTATATACTTGTGTTCATGAATGTTTGTATGTCTATGTATAAGGTTATTTTGGACATTTTAATGTTAAACGGAGTTTTAAACCCTTTAAAGTAAACATGATCTTACAACATTGCTTATTTTATGCGCCGCTTATTTACGCAGGGCTTAATAAGCACCGTTTAGTAACTCGTGAAGTAAACGTATCCTTAATGTAGTTTCTAAATATGTAAATTTTATTTACTAAAAATAACCTTATTACTATTTGAACAATACTTTTTTGGCTAAAGAGTCAAATAGGTACATGAACTAACTTAAAGTGTTCAATTAGCCCCTTATATAGGAGGTTCTGCCCGGCCATCGCCAATTGGGGCGGTTCCCGGTTGAATTTTTTGATGAAATTTTTTGATCATCTTCTTCATTAAGTCTAGTTTACCCATATCAAATTTCAACTAAAAATTAAATCGGGAAGACAATCAAATGATTTTCCAAAATGTATTACGCTGTTTAACTGCACAGTTATCTTCAAAAAATCATTTGACTGCCTTCCCGGTTAAATTTTTAGCTGAAATTTGGTATGGGTAAACTATACTTAATGAAGAAGATGCTCAAAAAATTTCATCAAAAAATTTCACCGGGAACCGCCTCAATTGGCGACGGCCGGATAGAACCTCCTATATAAGGAGCTAGTTGAACACTTTAAGTTAATTCATGTACCTATTTGACCCTTTAGCCTACTTTTTTTCATTTGTGTCTTGGATCTACTACAACTTTTTACAATTAAACATACTTTACTTAAAAATAATCCTATTAGGTTTGATTTTATTTCTTATTAAGTTATTTCATTTTTTCATAAATTTTAATTACTTTAGATGCAAGTTGTAAATTGTAATAGATTTAGTGTTAAGAGAAAATATTTAAAGGACATTGAAGTAATTCACCATATTTGCAATATAAGATATCTTTCAATAAAAAAAAGTAATGGCACATTCCCTTAATCTTAAACAAACACAAAAAGTAATGGCACATTCCATCAATCTAACATTCCCAGCAATCTGACATCCCCTGGTAATCCGACATTCCATGAACCAAACGAACCCCAAGAATTAAAAGTAGGAAAAATGGTGCTTAAAGCTATGTATTCAATAATATAAATATAGAATTGATAATAATATACTACCTCCGTCCCTTTTAAGAAAGTGACGCGAGTTTTAAGAAAAGTGGGTTTGTGTAGTTGATATTAATTGATGAAGTAAGAATAAAGTAAAAATGATTTTGAGTCACACAAACTTTACCAAATAAGGTATGAGACAATTAAATAGGGACATCCCAATATAGTAGAACGAGACATTAAAAAGGGGACGGAGGGAGTATCAAACAAACAATACCGGCAAAAACACTATTTTACCAGACTTGAGCTTCTACATTTTAAAAATCATGTTGATTTTCAAAGTTTTGCCATTAAATACTACATATTTACTTAACTTCCCAAAAGCACAAAAAGAAACATTGCAAAACATGTTTGACCGAGACAATTAACACCCAGTGGCACTTTCATAAACAAATTCATAATATGCTTTTGTATTACAAAATTGGAAAGATTCGCCACCTAAAAGACACATGCAGAAAGAAGGGTTCATCATCATCAGCTTCTAAAGGGTTTACATCTGTTCATACTCTCCACCAAAAGGGGATTGGATTTGGATATAATATGCAAACTAACCACATTTTCAAGGTTTCAGAAACATTTTGCGGAACTCATCATTTGATCTAGGGTTCTCGTCACCTCCTTCATCTGCTACTTGCTCTGATTTCTGTTTACTCTTGATTACGGCTCTTGGCATTGCAAATATATTCTTACCCATCAGCTGGATTTTATCTCCCTGTGTATCAACTGAAGGGGCTCTTTTAGGCACTCGACTCTGATTTGAAACTTCAGCACTATCCTTGGGATCTGATTTTGATACTTGACCAACATGATCCGCTGCCACAGAGGTATTAAAAGAATATAAGATAAAATGAAGATCCATGATTGATTTTACACATTTCATCATAATGGGGTTGATTGGAACCTAGAAATTATAGGAAAAGAAAATAGAGGGCAAGGTAGAGGGCAAATTTAAAAGGAGAAAAATTGGAGGGAAATTTGAAAAGAGAAAATATGAAGGGAAATTGAAGAGAAAATTTGGGGGAAATCAAAACGAGATTTTTTTTTTGGGGGGGGGGGGGGGGGGGGTAGTTCAAACTTAATAAATCAACTTTGGATATTTTCCATTCGTTTTAAGCTATGTTGTAAAACTCGGACCAGCTTGGCCGGTTTGAACTAGAAACGGGTGAACTGTCAATAAAATCAGACTGGAGACCTTCAGAAACCGTTAAATCATACAGAGGAGTCAGAGTATTCCACGAACAGATATACAGCTCCCACGTCCAATACACCAAGAGCAAGTGTGGGAAAACTTAATAGGCAAAATAAAGGAAAAACTAACTAAACTAATGCTGGAATGTAATTGAGCAATTTCCAAATAGTTTCCACCTAACACTGTGGCTGTCTACCGCTTTAACTTCAAGAACAATTTTATGCTGGTTTAATTATTGTTTGTATTCTAGGTATTACTCATTAACTTCAATATATTTTATTGTTCAAATATATAAATATACTCCCTTCGTCCCCTTTTAAATGTCCCGTTTTACCATATTGAGATGTCCCTATTTAAATGTCTCATACCTTATTTGGTAAAGTTTGTGTGGCTCAAAATCATTCTTACTTTATTCTTACTTTATCAATTAATATCAACCACACAAACCCCCTTTTCTTAAAACCCGTGTCACCCTCCTCCGGGACATTTAAAAGGGGACGGAGGTAGTATATATTAGGGTCCTTAATAATGTACGTAGTATATAGGTTTATTTTATTGTGTTGACCGGGTTAATCCGGTTTAGGCCAGGCTGACCCAGCGCTGGTTGAACCGTGACCCAACCATTTGGTCAGGTCAATTACCTGCCCGGTTCTTACAACATAGATTTTATGCCGAAAAAATCAGTATCATATAAAGACTAAGATTATACTAATACTTGTATATAATATTTTGAAAAGTTTTAATGAAATTTAATACTTTTGTATTTTCCAAGGTAAAACTAATAAACTGTCTTTGTCTCTTTTTCCTTCCCTTCAATTTTATGTTATAAAGTTAAGTTTATGTTAACTTTCACCAACCATTTTTTGGGGCCAGTCCTTTTCCTCTTTTCTGCCGAGGATCTGACTTCAAAATGCTCAGATTCTTTCCATGCAGTGTTTGCTTATTCTTTGCCAGAGCTGCTACCAGGTGTGCATCATCACAAAAATCCACATAGGCTAATCCCTTCAGAAGTGTACACAGAAAAATTATAAACTATGGAATGCAAAGCCTCCGGACGATGCACATATACAGAACATCAAGAGTTTGCTTCAAAAGGAGAGAGATGGAGGAAGTGAGAGAACAAGAAAAGTACTCTTGATTTTCCAGTGAACTTGTCTGTCAGTATTCGAATAGCAACAACTCCACCAACATCACTGAAGAACTTCTGTAGGTCATCATATTTCGCCTGATCAATTAATGTTAAACAAATTAGTTGTCAAAACAACCAAGTGAAGAAGATTGCATGTTCCTCCCAAAAACAAACTACTCAAAATAAAACAGAAATAGAGAACACACCTTGGGGCTAAGGTTGGAGACAAATGCAGTGCACTGGTCAGTGTACTGTTTTGGCTTTCCGGACGATACATGTTCCTTTTCTTTCTTGCTTGTACCTGCTTGTTCTATTTCTTCTACAACCACATCCATTTTGATTGCACCAAGCAAGTCAATAGCCTTAGTTTTCCCCTTTTCCTCGGTGGACTTGGAATTATTGGCCTTCTCTTTACGACGTTTTGCTGCAGGCCTTTCATCTATTGCATCTGAGAGTGGTTTTCTCTTTTCAATCGTTCCTTTCTGAACAATATTCTCCCTCAGTTCAGATGATGTCCAACTATTTTTGCTCTCCTGCTGTAGCCTAAAAAGCTGCAGCTCTTCTAGACGAGGAGTAACCTGAGTTTATTAAAGAAACATAGTAGACTTATAGAAATCATGTATTGCTGCATTTGCTTACCAACATTCATAATGAAAGTGAAACGAAGATATAAGCTCAAAACTACTCCCTCTGTCCCCTAAAAAAGAGCGATGTTTGTTGTCGTTGAGTTCAGTATTACAAACAATGCCTTCTATTAAAATCTGTACAGGACGTTAAATCAAATAAAAAGTGCTCACGCTATTTTTCAAAATAACAACTAAGCACAAAATTGGGATATGGCTTCAGCCAAAATTGGCACTGAAGACATGGTAAGAGATATTTGATCTAGAATAGAGAAATAGGAAGAAAATTGAGGTCAAATAGAAGTCAAAATGTGTGCATTTAGAGTAATACCATTGTTCTAAAGCTCACTAGGCGCTAGTTGGGCGGTTGAGGGGCGCCTAGCGCCTAGGCTGGCCGACTAGGCCGATTTTTTGACTGACCAGGGCAATTTTTTGGCCGACTAGACCGATTAGGCCTCTACAGTTAGGACCGACTAGGCCGATTTTTAGAACAGTGAGTAATACTGAACTAGAACTCGGAGATCAGGAACATGCCCTACTCATTGTTTGACAAAAACAACTCTTCTGATTGAGACAAAAGATAGTTTTGGTTTTTACTCTTTGAATCAGTAATAGAAGTAGAACTTTGTGGAGTGGGAGAATTGGTTGAGCCAAAAAACTTTGACATTGACGCTGTTTTATACTTGTATCATACTTGTATTTGAAGTGTTTGACAGAGTTATGGAAAAAATTATTTATGAAATGATTTATCAAATTTTTAGAAGCACTGACTGAGGTGCTTCTGAAATTAAATCGATTTCAAGAATACTAAATCGCTTTTCAGAATTTGGACAAATTCTTTTATTATTTGATGCCTGATAGCAGAAAGAACACCTTATACGTGAACCAAATGACAGCAGAAAAAATAGTTGAAACGTCCACTTACCTTTTGCACAGCAAAATCAAGGTCTTCCAGGGAACCGTACTCTCTCTCAAAGCGAACCCAAGAATGGCATATGTCCTGAATGATTCTGTTTTTTAGAAGAAGAATATATCATCTAATTCAAGATATAAATCACATTTTTTATCAAAATGAAAACATTGTCCAAGAATCCTACAACTGTAAATTCACATCCAACCATGGCGTGAAAAGCAGGAATATACACAGCGCGTATAGAAAATACGAACCCAACAGTAGCAAGATTTAGAACACATATTTAGATATTAAGGCATCATTGTCAATTTAGGCTACCTGCACGCTGAATTGAAAAGCTAATAGCTAACAAGTAAAAGTTAAAAGCTACAGAGTACAAATATCTAATGTTGATCCAGATGTATTGTAATTTAATAGTGAAATGGGCTTTCATATATTTAAAAAAACAAATTGAAAAATCAATGAATAATGAATAAAATGTGTTTTCTTTTGTAAAATAATATGGTTATCACTGGAAACAAAAATTGTTTGATGTTTCTACAAGAGAGAAATGACTACCGAGGAATGACTTGATATACATGTAAAATGATTAACGAGCTACCGATATCGATATATATAACTACAACCAAACTGAATTTCAATGTCTATTTCTAATCTATGAGAATTTTTAAGTTTTTAAGGATTGAGTATGTTTTAATTGGACTGTAATTTTCTAGTCTGATCTGGTCCGACCTGGTCTAGTTAAGTTTGGTCTGGTAGATGTTTGTTCTAAGTGTATTTTACAACTGCCAAAGTCTGATCTGATCTGGCCTGTTTAAGTCTGGTCCGGAACTGAAACCGGTCCAATTAAAAACATCCTAAAGAAGACAGAACATTGCAAGGAAACTAACATGACTCCCATTAAAATTTATATATTGTGAGAAATGACTTCAATACTCATGTAAACTGTATTACAAGCTACTGTTATTTATAAAAGATTATAAAAGAGTTCAGTGTGGAAAATTTTACCTCTGAGCCTGTCCCTGGGAATTTTTTGCTATAACATCTCTTGTACAGTGACCTAGCTTTACTCAATTGACCCGTCTCTATTTCCATGGATATATAGGCTTTCCAGGCGTCTAGCATAGATCCACTGCAACACACAGCAAGGTGGCAGATCTTATAGGAAATGAAGCAACACTTCAACTGGCATGATGAAATATACTTACCAGAACTTAAGTAAGTTTTCCCAAACACTATCAGCAGCAATTAATTGTTTTCCCAGGTTCGCCTCTAAATGAGCCCAGTAGCTATGCATCTGTATTAACTTTTCAGTATTCTTCAGATGTGGGGATAAATAATCTGATGCACGCTGTAATACAACAAATAAACCAACCTTAAAATATTACAGAATAAGAAAGTGCATATTGATTTTGTTTTCTTCTTTTTATTAGATAGGTGAAGTTCATCAACTTCCGGTTACTCATTTAATTGTTGCCTTTGGGGGAGTGAGAGGCATGATGAACACTTTAGGTCAATATGGTGGATCATCAGCAACACATTAGCACAAGATTTAGAAAGCAATTACACCTGAAATGTGTCATGTATCATTGTATAACCCAAGTCAGTGCCAACTCCTGTTGAAGACATTCTCCGCCTTAAGCTATCAACTCTTGTGAGAAAAACTTCAAGATACTGCAGCAGGAACCCAGTAATCAATTTCAAGCAGAATGTTGGACAGCTGCTTACTAATGCAAGCATCCAATTAAATTATTGTTATCATTTAAAGAGCATATACGAGGCTCAAAGTGGACAAAGTCAACTAAGTCCCTACTCCTTATCCCGCATAAAGCCCACATTGCTCATCATCATCATCATCATTGCCCCAGTGCCGCAAAGGCTCCCACCTACGGTGGGGTAAGGGGGTCGGATGTACACAGTCTTACCCCTTTACTAAAGCAGGGGGAGACTGTTTCCGGATGACCCATGGTGAAAATCGTGTCGAAAATTGCATGGACTGACTGCTGCTCATAAAAAAGAAGCGCACAGTTTAATGAGTGATTTTGCTTTATTCCATCATATTCCTAAGCCAAAAAATAGCAAGTCTTTGGCTCTGTTACAAATAATGTAAAAAAAAAGCCCACATTGCTATATCATATAAATATAAAAAGGGATTAGGGAAAACTTCATTGCATCATTATATATGTATGATCAGCAAAACATAAGAAACCCAACATTCACGATTTTTGTCACAACACTGTTAGTACTTAAGTAGTGAACAACAATCAAGCAAAGAGAAAAAGTGCAAAACGCATCTATGATCTACCTCTTCAATGCTTAGGAAAGTACATTGAAGTGACTTCTCAAAAACCTGGACAACACACAAAAGGAAAGTGTAAGAAACGCGCATTCTTGAGCTGTGAAGACTTTAGAATCAAGACTACAAAAATACGAATGATGCAGTTTCTCAACAAGGTCCAACATGGCCACTACTAGTTAATAGTTCATTGAATACAAATTGCAAAGAAATTCCAAAGCACACAATTTCAGTGCATGACCATATTAAGGACCGGGCCACAATTCTACAATACCAGAAAAATTAGTACTCAATCAATGGATTTAAGGATATTTTCACATTTCCATTAACACCGATGTTTTACCCTTGGGGCATCATGTATTCACATATCATGAATAAAAATGGGGAAAATGTCAAAGGATGTTTGTTTTTCTCTAAATATGCGTGCGCGCACCCAAACTAGTGTGGAAATTTCACTTTTAGTCCTTCAGTTGTGGTGTAGAACTGTAGATTCAATCCATACCCTCTGTAATATGACGCAAAGATTTAGTAACTAATTTTCCATTGAAGCAGCACTTGTAGTCAACGGCATGCTAACTGAATACCCAATGCCAAAGACTAAGAGTAACACTTCGACAAAAACTAAAAGACTAAATAATAATTATGTTCTCTCTTAAGTGCAACACTTATTTTTCACATTTGCCAATGCACATCTTTGACCATTAATATATTTAAATCTCTATTGAAAATTTAAGATGGAGATAAATTTAACAATATTTAGAAAAAAACAACACATTCATAAATAGAATGTACTCAAAGTAAAACATGTGAATAGTGTAAAATTCAAAATGTTGCACTCATTTAAGAACGAAGGTAGTATAACCTAGAAGTTTAAGTGTCATATTGCTTGTATATGACTATGAAGCACGGAAACTTCCCCTAGCATATGTTTCCCCATTTTGGAAACTTGGAAGCGTTTGGGAAACTTGGAGACTTCAAAATCCCATTTCGGACCGATTTTCATAATTAAGAAGAAATGGGAAACCCGTTTCCCAAGATAGCTAACGTTTTGAGAACTTTGAGTTTTCAACATTTTTTATGGGATTCCTTGATGGAAAATAGTGACTTTTAAAGATCTTTAATGAATTTTATGAAATTTCTTAGCAACACTGCAATATTTCATAACGCAATGCATTGTTAGTTAGTATTACATTTGATATATAATTACATATTGATATGTAATAATTTCTAAATTTGAACATGTACTTGTGTATTTATTATTGGGTTATTAAACAAGCTATATGAAAAATAATGTGCATATATATATAAATGAAAAAACATTTGTACATACATGGAAAAATATTTTTAAACATATCCTTATATTTTTAAATATTTACGCGTTTCCCTCACGTTTCGTATCCTATATTTTATCACGTTTCTCGAGTTTACCGTTTACCAGTTCGTGTTTTCGTACTACTTAGCTATATGCAGATTATTTAAGGGGAAGTTTGAGCACTCTGTGAGAAACCAGCAAAGCTTTAGGACCAGAATATACAGTGGTTTGTTCATCCTCAGAAGCACGATTCCGTTCAAGACATAGTAGATAGCGAGTCCACAATTCTCCAGACCAAGGACAGTTCCGCGTGGCCCTATGATGAATGTCTCTCACAATCCTGGAAGTCTGAAATGAAAGGATCTTCTTCATTTTAAACGGTATATCCACTATTTAATTAAACAGAGAATCGAAGGAGGGGAGGGAACCTTCAAGGTTTTGCCCATGTAGAGAGTATAGCTAAGCCAGATATCACAAGAAATTGGAAAGTCAGTTACAGCGCGTTCATACAATATCTGAGTCCTAGCCAGGTCCCCAGCTGACTGCTCAAATTTCAAATAAGACTGAAAAGAACAAAAGAAGAGTGATTTGAATTCTTGCAGGGTCATAAACTCACAAATAAAAAAATTACTTAGTTACCAACAGGTACTATTTTACAAAAATAGATATAACAAACTTGGTTTGGGTTATCGGTCCAAATTAAAATACGGAGTATCTTTTTACATTGTCGGTATATGCATCTTACCACGAAAAAATCAGGTAGATGTGAGTGGAAAACTGTAAATCAACTCAACTGCCATTGAAGCTTATAGGGAATGACACAGAGAAATATAATGCCAATGTAAAATATTATTCTGGCTGCACATTCACATGTAGACATCTTACCCATTAAAAACAAGATATTTGATATTATAAACACTGAATCCAAAACATTCAGATACACTCTAAATCATGATATCAAGTCAAACAACCCTACTCCGCCACTAAAGCTAACACGCTAGTGAAGGTTTGGCATTGATTTAAGTACCACTTCCTCATATCTGAAGAATTAGTTACAATTTCCAGGCTCCAGCATGGTATAAACATTCTAAGTGGTTCAAAGTCTGTATTATAACCTTCACTTAAGTGCCAAGTGTTAAAGAAAAACAACAACGAATTAACAATTAGCACTTGAACAGTGATATAAAAAAAACCATATTCATGTACAGATGCATAGTATTAATGAACGGTAACTTTCATTTCCTGTTTTTTTATTGAACGGTAACTTTCGTTTCCTGTATACAATGGAAACTGTAATTAAAAATCAAATAAATAATTAGTGGATTCATGCACAATACCAATAACTGCAACTTTTAAAAAGGTGAAGTGAAAGAATAAAAATATAAATTTGGTGACAAGGTTACAAAGACAAGGCTTCAATTACCACTATGAGCTATGGAAGGTTCAACTTTCTTTTCCCAAATATGATTGAATGGCCTCATTTCTAAACAATCATATCTACAAGTTGCATTGGAGAAAAAATAATGCACATATAACAAATAATTCTACACGCTGAAACATAAGATGCACAATAGAGGGTTTGACCGCATTATAAAGATCCCAAGTAATCTAAAATATTCCGAGTTTTTTAAAATCTCATATGATAAATGATAAGCAGAAAAGAATAAAAATGGAGACCATGAATTGTTGAAGTCGGTCTGCCTCATTTGCATCTTTGTTTGATATTTGACCCTCAAAGTTAAGTCGGGCATTCAACATCTCTAAGGCTTTTTTATATGCAGATGCCACATGTGAAGGAAGTCCATCCAAATTACTAGAGTTGACATCAATATTACCACCCTGTTCAACTTCCCACTCCTTGTATGCTAGAAGAGAATTTTTCATGTCCGCAAGGGGGATAGACAGTTGTCGGTGAAACAAACTTCTAATTCGTTGGACCTGCTTGTCCCTCACCTGCCATAAGATGTAATTAGCATTATCGAACTAGTCAGACTAGTAGGGATTGTATATTTGAACTATAACTTTTAAGCTTTTAAAATAAGGGGTCGCTTTTAAAATAAGGGGTCAGAGAAACAACAAAGATGCGAGTATGCGACATAGTATAATCAAGAGTTTTTGCCATTTTTGGTCCCTCGACTATTATGTCAATGACACTTTTGGTACTCGACTTCTAATTGTTCCATTTTTAGTCCTTGACTATTGTGCTAGAAACACTTTTAGTCCCCGACTTCCAGGTTTCCCACATTTAGTCCCTGAGTATTGTCAAATTGACACTTTTAGTCCTCCCATTATGATTTTGGCATAATAAGTGGAGAACTAAAAAAAAGTCACTATTATAATAGTTGAAGGACCAAAAGTGACACTTTTATGAAAGTTGAAGGACTAAATATGGAAATTTTCAAAGACGGGTACAAAAAGTGTCTCTAGTGCAATAGTCAAGGACTAAAAATGGAAAAAATCAAAGTCAAGTACCAAAAATGTCAATGACATAATAGTCGGAGGACTAAAAGTGGAAAAAACTCTATAATCAAAGATGTGTAAAAAAACAAGAGGTGAAGATGAAAAAATACAATGAGAAAAAAGGAAGCACCTCGGGATCAGTTCCTTCAATTGTGAAAAGAACGGCTTGTTCAAACTCCCTATATAACTCCCATATCCTGCCACCTTCAGTGACATGCAAACCAGCAGCTGTAAGGGCCCGTTCAAAGAGATTCCGTGCTTTTGATATACCATCTACGGAACATGACCTCACTGATGGGTCATGCTCTTGAACGTAAATTAAGTAGTCACACCATAAAGCCACAGACTGCAGAGAAAAAAGTTAAGCTTAGCTTTAAAAACCATGAGTTTGAGCGAGCTAAGAAGGCTACAGAGTATTTTCCTCAAAAGTATAAAAAATATGCACTAGAGTCTGACAAGCACTACTTCCAATTTGTCGGGGATTTAAATGTGGTTCAAATTTTTAAAGCTTGGGTTTTTCTGTTATCGCTTTCTTTATTAACTTAAGCTCACCTGAGCACCAACACAGCCCATAGACAAAAACGATTTCAGTATCTACCACAAAATGTGAAGATTTAAAAGCCTGGAATTGATGGCAGTTAAATTAAAAGATTTTTTCTTATCTGTCTATGCTCAAGCTACCATCACCTCAATATTAAATAACTATTTCATCGGTAGAAATTAATATTACGGTTTGAAGGAGAGAAGTTCTATGCAGTGCCTGAGATATTTCTAGAGCACTAAGCATATAAACTCTGATTATCATATCAAAACTTAATACACAAAGGATGTCTGCATTCTTTAATGCTAATTCTACATGTTTCCCTTGATCAGTGTATTCTTAGGAAAGAAATAAAGGCATTTTTCATATAAAGGAGCATAGCTAACCAGGTAATCAGACACTCCACGTTCATATAACTTTTGAACAGCCTGGAAAGCCTCAGATCTGCATGAAAAGAAAGAAATTGAGTATGATACATCATATTACATAGGTTTAAATACATATTAGTCCATTCAAATATAACACATTTTGTTTTAGGTCCCTGTAAAATATTTTTTTCATCCACGTGATATGCACTATTTTGTTTTTAGTCCATCTCTAATTGCAAGACCCCTCCATTTAGAAAAAAAATGTTGTCGGTTGCACAAATCGACTAGAAACTTTAAATTTATACTTTTATAACTTTTAGGCTAATATGAGAGTTAAAACACTGTAAGACCCCTGCATATTTTTTATTATATTTTTTTCATTTTTTTATTTTTTTATTTTAATTTTTTTCACTTTTTATTTTTTATTTTTTTATTTTATTTAATACAGAGTATATTTTATTTGATATATTTTTGTGTTTTTTTTTGTTTTTTACAATTTTATTACTCCCTCCATATTTAAATGATCTCTACACTAGCTTTGGGCACAATATTTTAGGATAGAATAGTAGGGGTAGACGGGTAGTGAATAGTGTAGAAAAAGTAGGAGAGAGTGTGTAAAAGTATGAAAGAGAAGATAAAAAATAGATAAAGTAAGGGTAGTTGAGTATTTTATAAAGGGTAAACTTAACAAAAATGGAAGTGTAGGGAACTTTTAAATATAGCCCAAAATGGAAAGTGTAGGGAACTTTTAAATACGGAGGAAGTATAAATTAATTAATCTTATTTCTTTTATGTTTTAATTATTAATGAAAGTTGTTGGCGCTTGGGGTTGGGGCTTGGGTAGTATACTTGTCCAAATGCTAAAGTTACTCTTATTCAAAACATGGTACTCCTATTTTTGCATTTTGCCTATGTTTTACTCCTATTCGAGGAATTCTCTCTATTTCTTCATATGGGGTTCGAGGAGATGCCAACGAACAATTATGTTGAGAGCAGCTTTTGGAATTTAGATGCCCTTTTCCAACCGCAACAACACCCCACTCGTGATTCACATGACACTTTCTTTTTGAAAGAACCTTCCACCACGAGGGAGCTCCCTCAAGATTATGTTGAACTAGTTAGGAAAGTTCATGAACATGGTGGCTATGGATCTCAAGGATATGGGTATGACTGGAAAAGAGTCAAAGCAAACAAGAATCTGTTACAGACACATACTACTGCTGTTTCATCAAGAATGTTGTATCAGCTGGCACAGAACAAACTGTTTACTCCCAGGAAGTACTATTCTATCGATCGTGTGTTTAGAAATGAAGCTGTTGACCGCACACATCTTGCTGAGTTCCATCAGATAGAAGGTTTAGTATGCGATCGAGATCTTAGTCTTGGTGATTTATTAGGGGTTCTTCATGATTTCTTCTCCCGTCTGATTCCAAGCTTCGGTTCAAACCTGCTTATAATCCTTATAATGAACCCAGCATGGAAATTTTCAGTTACCATGAAGGATTTAAGAAATGGGTGGAAGTTGGAAATTCTGGAATGTTTAGACCTGAAATGTTGCTTCCTGTGGGGCTTCCAGAAGAGGCCAACTATGATACTTTACGGGATTGACAATATTAGAGAACTGTTTGGACATAAGGTGGATCTTGGTCTCATAAAGAAGAATCCCATATGCCGCCTTGGACTTGAGTAAAAGGATGCCACCATTTTAACTGCTCTTCAATATCTTCTACGTGTTTGATGGAGTAGATTGAGAGCAGATTTAGATCCCAGTACCCATTTTTCATACAATTTTACCTCAAAAAGTGTTGCATTTTAACCAACGACCGTTGCATACTTCAGATTAGCTGTTATTTGAAGAATATCCTTATTTCCCCCTTGGCTCAGTTTTAACCTATGTAATTTTTTGAATATGTATACAAGGATAATATTTGAATGGTTTCGTCATTAGATGAGCCTAATGGAGTAATTTAAGTTGGGACAAAAAAACTCTGGATAGTTTCGGCACTAATATTCTTTATTAATTATTTTAGCTTTATGTTCTTTTTTCCGATATTCAAGAACAAAGGATGCGCCGGAAAAAAACACTTTGAGGTCACTGGCAATTTCAAGTTTTCAAAATTTATTTGAGATTTAAATAGCTTTATGTGTAGGTTGTCATATGACCCGTGGCCCCCGTGTCAAGGTGCCAATTGTCATCCGGCGGAGTGAGAGACATGGTTGCCATGGCCGAGTTGATATTGGTAGGAGACGGGGTGGCAAGGTGTGCTTGTTGTGGCCGTGGACCATGAATGCCGGCACTAGGAGATGGAGGCCGAGAGCTGTGGTTGGCCGGCCATGCAGTAGAGGGGTATGGACACGGTGGAATGCTCCATGGAGGCGGCCAATACCCCCACTGAGGCATTTGGCAAGGGCTGGCAATTGGGTTTGCCGGAGGAGAACCGGAGGGACGGTTGCGACCGCCACGTGAAGACCCATGTCCCCTGCCGCGGTTTGGGGTACGACCAGGCTGATCGTCCGGACGAGGCGCCAGTGCCGGAATGCCGGTATGGACCAGGGCAGTAGGGGCGGCATTATGTTGTTGAGCCTTCCTGGTTTCTTCAAGAAGAAGCATTGAACGGGCCTTGGAAAAGAGAGGAAGAGGAACCGTTTGTTGAATGAATGAAGCAACCGAGTCATATGAGGATGAGAGGCCGTTCACGAGGCGCAACACCAAGCATCGGTTGTCCACTGGAGAGCCTTGCAATAGGTAGAGATATTAGGGAATCTCTCCAATCGAGTATTGGAGAACTCGGTCTCGAGATGCAGCGCTCGAGAATGCTTGTTGTCAAGAAATAGATCGGGCAAACGATCCCATGCTTGTTTGGCAGTAGAATCGGGCTCAAGAATAGTGTGCAAGAGATCATGGGAGATGGTCCCATAAATCCTTTGTAACACCATGGCATCGAGTCGATTCCATAGAGCATCAGATTCGGCTTTGGCGGCGGCGGCAAGAATTTGTTCCGGGGTTTGTTCTGGAGGTGGCATGGTAGAGGTGGAGGCAGCCAAGGTGTCGGCTTCAACGGGGAAGATGTGATCTTCAACCTGGTAGGCACGGGTTGTGATCTTAAAAAGTTCGGCCCAAGAGGAGTATTCCACATTCTTGAGATGAGTGATAGGAATAAAACTTTTTATGTTTGTAAGAGCTAGAGCGGGGTGAAAAGACGGGGATTTGGCGAAAGCCATGGGAGGAAGAAGAAAGCTTGCTTTGATACCAAATTAGAATTAATTGGAATTCAACGTGATCCTTTCATTCACCTTCGTGGTGTATAAATACACATACACATTACAAAGTAATGTACAGATAATAGTTAATAACAAACTACCGAGCTAAACTTTCGTATCAGGAGAGGCATGCGTGAGCTGTGCATTGTACAACAAGAATTCAAAATAATTTGAATATACAACAATACTAACAATTAATACGGAAGTGATAGTCTAGGTGACCGAGTCTCTTGGACGGCATGCATGTGCATGCATGGGACATGCACACGTTAACAAAATCCATTCCCATCAGTCTTCTTCCACTAAAGTGTGTTGTGCCTCTTCAACTGCTATATGTCCTCAGTTATGTCATTTGATGATAGAGTAATTGTGTGGGGACGAAAGAGAGATGGATTACTCATGGCTTCTCTTGTTACGGGAAGAAGAGAAAAGAAGGAGAACAGACAATGAGTGTAATGGCGTTTGTGTAAAAGATAACTTTGTTCTGCTTATTTTATTTTGAGAAAAGGGGCAAATAGGCCCTCGAACTATTTGCAATTCTGCAATCAGGCCCCTGAACTTGAAGAATTGTAGATACACCCCTCAACTCATTGAAAATGATGCAATCAGGTCCTTTTTACCTGCTGGTGCCGGTAATATTTCATCTTCTTACCCCCCACCAACAGGTAAAAAAGGATTTGATTGCATCATTTTCAATGAGTTGAGGGGTGTATATGCAATTCTTCAAGTTCAGAGGCCTGATTGTAGAATTACAACTAGTTGGAGGGCTTATTTGCCTCTTTTCTCTTTTATTTTTGTGACCATGATTGGAAGTTTGGATTACTAGTGTAAAAGTTTGAAGTAGGGATTATTTTTTTTATTTAATTGGTAAAAGTATGGACTAATCTTGTCAATTTCACCTAAAAAGTTCTGTTAGCACCACGAGTATATATTTTTTTGCATATGTAATTTTATGGTGTTAAGTACATAATACTCCGTATAAAATACACAAAATATTTGAGGGTACCATTAAAATTATGTTTTATTGGATGTAATATTATTTATTTCAAAAATGAAATTTTAGAATGTTAACTGCATTCTAACAAAGCTTAGAGTATTTAAAATTATGTAATTCCTCCAACAAATTTGTATTTGTAAGAAAAACATAGAATCATGGTGTGAAAATAACTTTTTATATAAAGTTTGGGGTATATATATTACATATGCAAGTTTGGGGTGATTACCTCACACCCCATTAAAGTTTGTGGTATTTAAATTATTTTCCTCTACATATTAACAGAAAATCATGATTTAGTCATTTTCTTTTCTGCCATGTCATTCTATACTAGGTAAATATGTAAAAACAAAAGATAAAAATCAACTTATAAAAAGGCTAGTTCATGTATGGAGGAGATTGGTTTCAGAGTGGCGAGTATGAAGGGGTAGGCCTTGAGTCCCGATGAGGCCTAAGCCTCAAAGTATACCAACAAATAAAATATTCAATTATTTAACTACTACTCCCTCCGGTTTTATTTAATCTTCACACTTTGACTTCACACAAAATAAGGAAAGAAATTTGACTTTACTGTAGAATACAATGTTGAGGCACTGTTTGACACTGTTTGGCACTGTAGAGACACTTTTTGGCACTGTAGAGACACTGTTTGGCACTGTTGAGACACTGTTTGGCACTGTTTTGATGGATATTTCTTTGCCAAAAAAGGAAATAAGGAAGTGTGAAGTTTATTTTAGACCGTCCCAAAAAGGAAAGTGTGAAGTTTATTAAAAACCGGAGGGAGTATATACCAACTAAACTTATGCATAATCATAAGTCAAGAAAGACTCAAACACAAACACACGACATGACCACACACCAATGCACCATGGTCGAGAAACCCCCCCATTTCTTTACATAATCCTCCATTGCTTGTTTTTTCCTTATTGTTCCCTTAGTAGCACTCTTCTTGTCTGAACACTCTTTTGTTTGAGTTTTAGTTTCTACTGATTGTTTTTATCCAAAAATATTAACACGAAGGTCATCCCTTTATGTGTGTGCTTCACCATCATTTTCATCGCCAAGCCACTCATCAGATAAAAGCCGCCTTCTATTAATTCTATATTGGGAGAAGGAAAAAAGTAAGAAAAAGGTGAGGAATATAGGCTATCGTATCCGATCATTAAGTTTAAGTTAAGTTAAAACTAGGTTGAAGTTGAAGTTCATGTCTAGAATACCAGGCACACCACACATTCTGTTGTACAGAAATACTACTTTCATAATTACACATGTTGCTACTGCAGAACAAATTGTTGAAAAATGATAACTATGTCAATTTCACAACAGATTGGTTTTTTTATTGATTTTTCTCTTTCTATCTACTATTGAGTACTCCAACAAAAGGTTTGTTGTCAAGCTAGAAGGAGCAAACTCTATAACAATTTCTTAAGGTGCCTTAAAAACCTGCTATGCAACACCATCTTAATAGCCCTGTCAACATAGATTGAAATAGGCATGCAACAGTGGAGGTCCTAAAAGGGAGCCAGATAAACAAAATTCTATTGCAAAAAGTAAAGTGTAATATGAAGATCCTTTAACTTGTATGACTGATATTTTTCACCTTCCTTCTTTACACATTCCTATAGCCTATTTCCCTGCCCAGTGAATCCCACATTTGCTTTTCCTTGTGATTTCAACTTTTTAACTTCCAAAATAACCCAGTAAAATTAAAATCACTGTCTGCCTGTCGGGCACATTATCAACAAAGGAAACATGAAAACAAAACGAACCATTTGATTTAGTAATAATAGAGTAAACAGACCTAGGTTAAAAAAAAAAAAGCAATACCCGGAGCTAAGTGACATTTCATCTTTAATCCATTCCTGCCACATGTCAGGGCTCAGAGGAAATATGGCGCCCATAGCTTCCCTAGCTAGCCTTAGCTTCTCTATATCTCCCTGCTTCCTTAGACCTCTTATGTACTGCACAATTATAACATGCCCATATGACAAGGCACGTAGAATAACATTAGCTAGTACAAATGGATATAATTCTATATTGGTAAATGCATTTCTATTTCCGCAAAAACAAAATGTGAGCGAAGCTTTTATGACCAGATTGATGGCTATCTGCTCAAGAACACATTGTCTATAAACTTATCAAGTGTGTACGCTCAATATAATGTGCAGATATGGTATGATTACTTGGACATGAGCATCGTAATTAGATGGGTTGTTGGAGAGTTCAATTTGAAGAGCTTGAATTTCGAGGCTCTGTTTGGCTTCGTCATCATCGTCAGAGTCTGAATCTGTGCAAGAGTCGGACCGGGAACCATCCTTCGAGTTAGGGATATCGTTCATGAGTTGGTCTTCATTTTTCTTGGTAGCGTCTTCGAAGATATAAGGTGCTTGGGCAGAGATATCTAGGGTTTCAGTTGGGGTTTCCGCCATGTTTTTTGAGGCGTCGTCTGTCTCTGAGAGTAGCTCGCAGTGTGTGAGGGTGAAAAGCTGTGGAAAGCAAGATCAGCAGCAATCCGATTAGACATACATAAAAACAGTCAGCAACAACAGCTAACGACGGACACAGGTAGGGGTGTGCACCGGTCCAAAACCGGACCGGACCGGACCGGAACCGGTTAGGACCGGAACCGGAATCATCATTTTACCTAGACCGAAGACCGGACCTGATACTTACCGGTCCAGACCGGCCCGGACCTGAATTTTCCGGTCCGGTCCGGTCCGGTTTTGACCCTAATTGACCCGGTATTTTAAAAAATGCATATTATCTAAATCGTTTATCGTTGTTTTAAAACTTTAAAATTATGTGCTAAATAGACTAAATAGTTTTTATGAACTAATTTATCAATTCAGACATATAATTATCAAGGTACAATTAATTTTCCAAATTAAATCATGAGTTTAAAAAATTAAAATCTTTCCCAAACTAAAATGGGAGAATGTGAGTAACTTAATAAAAAACTAAATCACATGCATGTTCAACAATATATTAACTACGGAGTATATTTGTGGTACACTCTTGCAACAAAAGCCAATACACTAAGCTTTTAGCCAATTAGCATTGTAAAAAGAAAACATGTATACTAATGATATACTCCATATATTTATATATAATACTACAAGAAAAGAAGAATGCATGCCCTAAAACATAATGAATAATGATACATAACAAGGTAAATTTTTTACATAGTAATAATTTAACGGGTTACCGGTCTGGACCTGTTTTTTCCGGGTTTGACCCAGACCGGACCGGAACCGGAATCATGAAAATCATAGGACCGAAACCCGGACCTGTTAATATCGGTCCGGTCCGGACCGGTCCATTCCGGTCCGGTTCAAGTCCAAATTCCGGTCCGACCCGGTTAATGCACACCCCTAGACACAGGCACACAGGCACAACAACAACAACAACAGAGCGGGGAATAACCAATTTATGTAAAGTAGATTTTATGGTACCCAAAGATACCATACCTTTGTCCACTTTGATCAATCAGAATGTTGTAGTTGAATTATTTAAATCTAAATTAAAAATGATTTAATGATTTGGACCAATCATGTGAGTGGTAGGTACGGTACCCCATTTTTTAAATGGGTACAGGAGTTGTCACCTGTATGTAAATGGGTAATGGGGCGGTTATGTGTTTATACCTACCCGCCCCGTTACTCGCCCCGTTTAATTTGGATACGGTTACTCGCATCATTACCCGACCCGCAAATTAACTTATACCCACCCGCAAATTAACTTATACCAAGTATATTTTAAAAGCTTACTTTTTATTATTATCATTTAATACCGAGTATATTAGTAATTTACTACTCCCTCCGGTTTTTAATAAACTTCACACTTTCCTTTTTGGAACGGTCTAAAATAAACTTCACACTTCCTTATTTCCTTTTTTGGCAAAGAAATCTACATCAAAACAGTGCCAAACAGTGTCTCAACAGTGCCAAACAGTGGCTCTGCAGTGCCAAACAGTGTCAAGCAGTGCCTCAACAGTGTACTCTACAGTAAAGTCAAATTTCTTTCCTTATTTTGTGTGAAGTCAAACTGTGAAGATTAAAAAAAACCGGAGGTAGTATATGATGTGCATTCCTAATATTTTGATATTGATAATAGTAATATTATTATTACTATTAAACCATGTTTGGCTAATAAACTATCCTTCATATTTGCATTTTACTGCCAGGATAAGACTTCTATGAATGTATTAGTATAATTTATGGATATTAGGTTCAAAAGATTGGAACTTTTTATAATATAGTATTAATTATAAAATTGCTAGGAAAAATTTCATACTAATTAATTTTCATTTTTAGTTTTTAGGAAAAATTGCTAAAATTGTATTTTTGCATCAAATTGGTATAAGGATTTGAAAACAGAATCGAAAATTGTAAGAGTTTATAAAAACATTAGGCAATAATTATTAACAAAATATTAGATAAAAGAAAACTCAAAATTGCACAAAATATTTAAAAAAAATCTTTAACAACTCAAATCATAAATTTAAAACTTAAGATATTGTTTTAAATAAAGTGCACAAAATAATTACAAATTAATAGTGTTAGATTTTTAAAGATCCTCAACAAATAAATATGTTGTATTAATATCAAACTTCATAATATATACGAGTGGTGAAAGTACATGTATATATAATGGTTTAGTTCAAATATTGTAGACTTGTAGTTATCTCAATAGTTCATAAAAGAATAATACGAAGTGTACTTTTGCTTCTCACCTTAATAAAATTTGATTTTGTTTAAAAAAACAAAGTAGTTAGTAACTTAGTATAGGGTGTATAGCTAAGTTAATAAACTATAGCCATTGCACATTGAGTCATTGATATGCAAAAGGTGTAGGCATGCAGGGTCCGAATGGAACACTTATTTTTTTAACAAAAAAAAATATCATCCGTTACTCCTGCAGGTTTTCCACACCGAAAATAGATTGGGAGTTACCCTCTTTGTTGCCTAATAAAATGCTGACCCTCGTTGCTCGAAGTGCAAGAAACAATTTCTGAGAACGGGGCGTGCTTGCTCTATGCAGCGTCTCAGCCATGTTCATGTAATTTGAAATCATGGAAATTGCGGTTGAAAAAGTTTTTTCTTTTTTTATGCACAATTTTGAGCGATTTTGTGAATTTCAATTTTGATAAAAACGGGTACCCGTGAGGAAAACCGTTCCCCGTTCAAATCGGGTATAGTTTGGGTAATAGAATACCCAACGGGTAACGGGCGGTTTCGGGGGAAAAAATTAGCTAACGGGGCGGGTACAGGGAATGGTATACCCGGCCTCGAACCGTCCCGTCCCGTTGCCATCCCTATGAAAAACTAAGGGTATGTTTTTTTATCGTCAAAGTGACTTTAAATTAATAAAATAGCATTCAACAGGGTATCTTTAGACTTTACTACTTTAATAAGAGATATTTTGCAATTTTTCACAAAACTGAAAAAAAGTAAAATTGTGTTTATTAAACCATTATCCAAAACAAAAAAATGAGATATGTCTTTGTTTACATTAATTAATTAGAGAAGTGACTTTTACTAGTTTTCCAAATTTGGAAAACGTGGATGCTGCAGTGCCGCTGCAATGGATTAGCATACTTACGCCCAGTGTTGGATCTGGTCCCGCTCCGGGGTCAATTACAGTCAGGCCCGGTCAACGACCTGACAGTCCCTATCTGGTCTGTTCAGAGACCCGGCGGTGTGATCCGGTCATTGACCCAACGGTCCATGTATGATCTAGTCAACGGCAGAGCAATCCCGGTCGAGTCCAGTCGACAACCCGATGGTCCCGTTCCGGTCACCGACCAGTGGTCTCTGTCCGGTCCAATCCCCGACCCGGCGATCCCTATTCGGTCCGGTCCACGATCCGGCGACCCCTGTCTGGTCTGGTCCACAACCCGACGGTCCCTATCTGGTCTGATTCACTACTAGGAGGTACTTGTTTGGTTTGATCGACAGTCGGACAGTCCTGGTCGAATCCGGTCTGGTAACCGACTCGGCAATCCCCTTCCGGTCTGGTCAATGACCCGGCCGTCCCCGGCCTGTCCGGCCCCCGGCCGGTTCGACCAACGACCTGGCAGTCCCCATCCCGTCTGGCAAATGACTCGACGGTCTGTGTTTGGTATGATCGACAACCGGGTGGTCCCGAGCCAGCCCCGTAAATGACTCAACCGTCCCTGCCTGGGCCGGTCAATGACTCGGTAGTTTAGTCTCGTTTTTTCGAAATCATTTTTCAAAAGTGAAGAGTCATATAAAAGAGTCATTGAGTTGTCAACGAATATGGAAATGAGAAAAGAATTTATCAAACTAAATGTTGAGATCGACTGGGACCGACCGGTTTCGTATACGTGGGACCCAAAACCCACTTGGGTTGTACTAGGTTCGGTTCTGCCGTTCTGGGTTGGGACCTTACTTTCGATCTTTTGGTCGGTCACAGAACCAAATGAAAAATCATATGAACATGTTTTTAGATTTGAAAATGGAAAACTAAAAATGAAAACAAAAAATGGTGATGCAAGAACTGGAAAATGAAAACAGAAAATTGGAGAACGAAAAACAGAAATAGAAAACTGGAAAATAAATTTGTTAGTAAACAGGCCCTAAATTTTCAATTTTTCTGACACAGAAAAAAAAAAAAATCAATACAAATGGATTAACTATTAAGTTTAAGAGCTATGCTCGACATAACCCATTTTGGGTACCCATTTTGTGTCACCTTTTGTGTGGTTCACAAAAAATCCAATCATTAAATCAAGTGTGTCACTTTAATTAATTGTCCCAATTTGTACCCTAGCTGTGTTGCCTTCTATCGATCTTACTATTGTCTTCCTCTCTATCTCTCACTGATTCAAACTATCATCAACGCTTAAAGATTCTTGGTAGATGGATAATCGAATTGGATTGGTCTTTTCTTTTGGTTGTATTGATTTTGTTCTATAACAGTTCTTTCCCGGACACTGATGTTGCAGGGTGGTTTGTCTCTCTCGATGCAGGGGGTTCTGTTGGTGTCCCGGCTAACTTCACTTGGTCAGGAGTTTTTATCTGCTTTCTTCTAGAGTGCGTAGACATTGGTAGAGCTCGTCATCCTCCAGACTCACCTTCGTGCCATGACGAGGTTTGTGAAAAGTCTTTATTTCAATTTTAGTTTTTCGTTAGTAGTACTTGTTTTTTATTTTAGTTTTAGTAGGTTTGTTTTGGAAATTTGGACTTCTGGCATATGTTTGAAGGCACTATTTTAGTCCCGATTGTTTTAGCCTTTAAATTGTTCATTCGTGTCTAGCGAATCAGGTTGTTTTGCATGAGGTGGTTGATTCTATGTCTATTCCCAGACTCGCAATCAAATTTATCATAACTGTCTGGATGACGTTGTCTCGATTTTAATAGAAAAGCTGATTCTTTATTTAAAAAAAAAATCATTCTGACATAGAAGCCAAGAAAAAAGATAACTTCTGAAAGAAGCTCCGCACAATTCCGTTATAGTAGCATGCTTAAAATGTCTTCTTTCAACCCTTAATCACTCGTTCACTCCCAGGT